AATTCAAGGGAATGTCAATATTGATTAAAAAGCGCACCTTCATCTGAACTCATTAAAGGTGGGTGAGACAGGAAAGACCTCACACTTATTTGTTTTGTTCCATTTACGATATACAAATTCGATCACAAAGATGTATTTTTTGCATACACAACTATTGAGTCATTCATACTATCATCGCTGGTAGGCCCCCATTCTTAAATTCGCTTTCATGCACACAATTTATGAAACAAATGTACAGTGTGTCAATTTTTTGATGCTGTTGCGCGATACCTCAGTTATATTAAAAGATAGAGTGTTCCGGTTTGCACATTACTCTCTTACATATCATTTTGAAGGAAAAAAAAAAGGAATTCAATGAGCTAATGAAATACAGGGTGGTCCCTTTAAAAAATCTACAAAACCATACCTCGGAAAAAAATTAGTGTGCCACTGGATTCTGCGTAAAATTTTCTATGTGTAATGATATTCCCCTTACAGGGGCTCTAGAAACATCATCAGGAAGATCATTCGAGAACGTTCGAGAAGCAAAGCCTACCAAGGGGTCTCATATATATATGGACGGCCGGACAACTGCGGTCAGTCAGTCAAGCAGCGATTGTCAGAGAGACAGTCATATACCGCGTGATATAAATCATTTTACATAAATAGTAGTTATATGTTCGATATAAATTAGTGTTCCTCAAGTTAAAATAAATAAGTAACATATGGATAATATTTCAATATGACATTTTCGCTGCGAAACTTCGTAGATATCAAGGGGGTCCAGGAAAGATAAATTTTCAAAATCGCCCTGTATCTCATAAACAGAAAAGTTATGCAAAAGCTGATTGGGTCATCTTGAGTTTCACAAAAAAGTGGCACAGGACTGTGAAAACCGCAATGTTCTATCTTCAACAACAAAATGACCATTTCCGAAGGAACGCCTTGTAACTCGGAAACGAGGAAAGATATCGATATGCGGTTTTCACCATTGAGTTTTGCATGGGAATCGACCCTCAGGCACAGACATCAGTTCTCTTCTATCAATTTGGCCCACCCTGTACATGCGAAAAAATCACCTCTAACGCCCTGTATGTTTTTCCACAGCAATATTTTATTGAGGTCCAAACAATGCGCCCTTAGCCTATGTCCCAACCCAGCGAGCACAAAAACATCTCAGAGAAGTTAAAAGTACGAGATTTCGAGACATTGAACCTCCACTGCGATGTTCTGTTCACACATGAATAGAACTATCATAGAACAGCCAATATCCGCCGCAGGCGGCAATTATCGAGATGTCCTTGATATGTCACAAAACTACCTTCTCCCTAGTTCTTTTCAAAGCCTTTTCATGGACACAACAGAACATTTTCAACGCGTCTTGCGCACATTAAATCGCTGTAAAAAAACCATTTTCGAGGTACTTTTCTGATGCCTTTTGACAAAATGAACTTTTGCATTAGGATTCCATTTCCCTTGAATGAAAAAATGCATTAAAAATAGATTGAACATAAAAATATTCTCTTGATATGAAATTACCATCTCAATCGGTTTCTGAGTAGTGCTTACTACACGCAGACATATAATTGGAAATAGGTTTCCCAATTTTTGAAATGTTCTCCACAATGCATAATTTTGCAACTGCGGAGAAGCTGTGTATTGATGAATTCGTACTTTCATATATTGATTACACTGAGGCACCGAACAACACTTCTTGCATCTGATTGTCATTATTACAAACTAAATAAGTCTTCTAACACAACAAACTTCACCAAATTCCTTTCTGTTCGTTAGCAGCGTGATGTAAGCGTGACACGCTGCAAACGCGAATGCCTCTTTGGGAAGTGCATATTACGCCTCAAAAAAACATCCTCATGCCTACATTTCTAAAACATCCCAAAACATCCCAGGGATACCTCTCAGTAGGCAAACAAAGAAATGCCACAGAAGAACAAAAACAATACTTCAATATCCTTCAAAGACCTCTTTGGTCAGTGCATATTACGTCTCAAAATAACATCTTCATGTCAACATTTTCAAAACATCCCAAACATCCCAGGGATGTTTGTGCTCGCTGGGAATAGTTATGACTCACACTGTATATTTCGATATAATTAATGATCTTCACTGTTATTGAGCTTTGAGACGAAGAAATGCATGTACGCCTATGTATTTACGTACACATCATTATAATCAAGTTATTATATCACAAGTGGTGATTTGTATCAATTCCTGACGTATTTACAACACAACAATGAATACAATTTCTCATGATGTTTAACGCTACCTCATTAGTATATCAGCCTTGAAACTCTACATAATAACATTCTTGCTGAAAATACACATACAGATACAATAGTTAGTTAGAAGTTTCATTAGTTTTCTCTGCATCTTCAAAAATTCAGTCACAGAGATCATTCGGGAAACGATGATGAATGAGTACATCACGAATACCACGAAATAACCTCTTTGTTGTTCAAAGGGGTTTGTTTGTAAACAAACATTTGACACGAATTTCAATTGTAACTTCGAAGCAGCAAGGTTTCTTTCCAGAACATCAAACATAACCAAAAAACACGATCCGAAATATGTCACAAATGCCATTCGCAAGAATCACGAAGTGTGCGGCCTCTGGTGGCTAAGTTTATAAGTCTTGCGAGTATGAACAACAATGACAACAAATATGGCGACCATTGTTTCGAGTTTCATGATAATGTGTTTTATTTGAAAATTATTCATTTGCTGAAGTGCATATTCCAGAAACTCATTTTCCCTAATGGAAGAACTCGAATTTTGCATGGACTTTTATTATTTACAATGAATAAACCAGTATCTACCTTGAATAATATGAAGCACAATTAGAATCATTATACAGGGTGTTTCATATTTGAATACTGATCCTCAAGGCGATAATCCTTGGATGATTCCAAACAAAAAAGTTAATATGAACCTCTTAGTTATTGAGCTACAGGGTGATGAAATTTCAAGAAAAAAATGAGTTTTTCATCATAATTATTTATAACTCTTAGATATTCTTATGATATTTTGTATACACCTTTCCATTATTAAGGAGCATTTTTTTACGTGGAAGATATTTGAAAATTATCACCAGTGGCGTCCGTACGGGGTTTGAACTGACAATTTTTTAAGAAAAAAATAGTACGCCACTGATTATTCTGGGAACCAGATTTTTTTTCCAATTCTTATTCATTTTGGAGCAAATTCGGTTCCTAGACTTACTTTCATACAACGTACCGTTTTCACGTAAAAAAATAAAAACCAAAGAATTTTGTTCCTTCAGTTCTTGGATATTGTTTTTGGTAATTCAGTAGACACCCACTATAAGTGGAAACACATTTTGTTTTGGGACGAAAATCAAACTTTTACTTTTACCAGTGATGTCCTCGTAGACCTGATATTGAATGTTCTGTAAAAAAACGCTGTACGCCTCTGATTTCAACACCCTGTAGCTCAAAAACTGAGAGGTTCAGGACATATGTCGATATGAACTTCTCTCCTCAAAATCATCCAAGGATCATCGCCCTTTAGGATCAGCATTCAAATATGAAACACCCTGTATAAATGTTGGTTGCAATGATTCGATCTTTAAAATATCTTCAAGTCCTCACTGCTGGGGATCCTTGTTCATGTAAATCGATGATATGGTTCATTCTTCGCAGTCTCTTCAACCATATCTTCCTTTGCAACCCCTTCACTAGAATTCAATTCACATTCATAACAGCCAGTGATATTTCTTGATGAATTCAATTATTTCTGCATACATATACCATATTGTTGTGATAGCTGATTTCTTATGGTTCTATTCCAATCCATGCAAGTGCTGAGTGGACCCTTCCCAGCGAGCACAAAAACATCTCAGAGATGTTAAAAGTACGAGATTTCGAGACATTGAACCTCCACTGCGATGTTCTGTTCACACATGAATTGAACTATTATAGAACAGCCAATGTCCGCCGCAGGCGGCAATTATCGAGATGTCCTTGATATGTCACAAAACTACCTTCTCCCTAGTTCTTTTTAAAGCCTTTTCATGGACACAACAGAACATTTTCAACGCGTCTTGCGCACATTGAATCGCTGTAAAAAAACCATTTTCGAGGTTTCCCAATTTTTGATATGTTCTCCACAATGCATAATTTTGCAACTGCGGAGAAGCTGTGTATTGATAAACTCGTACTTTTATATATTGATTACACTGAGGCACCGAACAACACATCTTGCATCTGATGGTCATTATTACAAACTAAATAAGTCTTCTAACACAATAAACTTCCCAAATTCCTTTCTGTTCGTTAGCAGCGTGATGTGAGCGTGACACGCTGCAAACGCGAATGCCAATTGCGAACTAGAAGAACAAAATCGAAAACAAATCAGAATTCATCGTATTGTGACGTAAGCATGAGACGTTGTGGTGGAACAAACAAAGAAAGGGCACAAAAGAACAAAAACGATACTTTCAATATCCTTCTAAGACCTCTTTGGGAAGTGCATATTACGCCTCAAAAAAACATCCTCATGCCTACATTTCTAAAACATCCCAAAACATCCCAGGGATACCTCTCAGTAGGCAAACAAAGAAATGCCACAGAAGAACAAAAACAATACTTCAATATCCTTCAAAGACCTCTTTGGTCAGTGCATATTACGTCTCAAAATAACATCTTCATGCCAACATTTTCAGAACATCCCAAAACATCCCAGGGATGTTTGTGCTCGCTGGGTTCCGACCATTCCTTATGATGTTTGAAAATATAGTGGAATTGTAATGTGATATGATGAATACCACCATTGTTCACATGAAAATGGCAATTTCTCTGCCCAAAAAATTATTTTTTTCATACTGGAAACCTTGAACGTCAATTATGAAGATTTCACGAAATCAACTTCTTATTTACTATTATGCACAATGATTTCGAAAGCACCAATTTGCAATGGATACATACGGCAATGTTTTTGTTGTTCATACTCAGTTTGAAATTTGACGTTGATTTGACGTTTAATAGCGTCATCTATTGGTTCGTGATTTTCGCGAATACTTACATCATTTTCTGAACCTTCAATCAAATTCCATCAAGTAATATTCTTAAGGTGATGCGAAGCCTTGCATACTGCTTGTTTTTATCACTCCTAGCTCACACCCTCATCTCAGTCCCTGTTCCAACCAAAACCATGAAACGCGAAGAGCTCCTCAACATAATCAAGAAAAACTTCCTCTCTCGAGAAAAAGAGTACCTCAAGAAGCAACCTCTCAGCGACGACTTGAAAAGCTTCATCCAGAGGGTAAAGAGACGAGCCAACCCCCCAAAAAAGAGAGACTCGTTCCAAAATGCCGATACCGAACACATGTACGTAGTTCACAATGGCGACATAGTACCACTGAGCGATATCAAGGATAGAGGACTGGAAAGCAACTTCATTGAAAGCAATGGGGATGTGACTCTAGACGACCGACAGTTCCCCAGCGGTAAATTCACTGTCATACCCTTGATAATACCCATTTCCCTAGTAGTCAACGAAAATGTTACAGAGACCTGCGAGGAAACACCGAGAGGAACCTTTGCAGCTTTGGCATTGGAGACATCAACTAAAGTCACCAAAAGAATCACTGATGGTAGTGATGGTCATGGTTCAGCAACGGAAGAACAGAGCGAGGAGTCTGACAGCGACTCACCTAACGAATCAACCACCGCCAACGTCAAGCTCCTCAGCAAAGTGATCAAGGATGTAGAAGACTTGATCAAGTACCAGAACGATGCCAAACCTACCTCGGAAACTACACTCTGCAACGTGACAGGCGACTGGGACAGCTACGCCGGAGGCATGCAGCTGAGGATATACCTCAGAGAGAACACCCACAACCCCAAAGTGAGGATCGTGCCCAGAGAACCTCCCATGGAGGGGTTTTTATCGGCCACCAAGTGGAACGTCACTGCCCTGGTGCCGTACAGGCACTCCTCCATGATCGCCATCATGGCCGTGTCCCAGAAGGGCAGGCGGATCGCGGCGTTCATAGGGGAGTGCAGAGTTTGCGAGGGGGATGAGACCATTTCGGGTAACTGGATGGTGACCAGGAGGTCGAAGAGCTGCAAGGATCGGGAGGAGGCTAATACGTTTATTAGTGATGTGTTGAGGAAGAATAACATCAGGAGGCTGCAGGCAGCTCATCTCAGTGAAATTACTTCGTCTACGGCGGAGAGTGATATTTCTGACAATAGTGAGAATGTGGCGTTCTTTTAGCATGATGTGTAAGGGTGATATTATTAAACACGTTATGTTTCGATTGCTTTATTAATGGGATGGGAATATATTGAGAAATGAACAGAACAAGATAGGTAACTATTTGAGAATATGAATTGAATAGAGAAAAAATATCATGTAGGCCTAAGGCATTCGAATAGAGTAATCAGTCAGACAATATACAGAGTGAGGCCTTGTTGAGGAAAATGATATAGTAATAACATTTGGCCAATCAGATTTCCAGTGGCGCAACGAACGAAGTGAGCAACACGAACAAAATTCTCTAAATTTTATACAAAACTATTGAAGGCACTGTTTTCTAGAAAAAAAAAACCGAAAAGCGAGACCAGACTCCAAATTTTGATGAAAATGCTGATTACCATTCAAGTTATTCATCAGATTACTAGATAACCATAATATGTAACATTCTGAATTATTGTTTGCACTATCTAAGTGACATTACAGACTAAATTTTACCATCACGAATAGATATACAGTGGACAGCAGGAGAATCTATGCATATTGTCAACTTATCACGAAAAATACTTTTCTTCTTGATTTTTGTGTCGTTTGGTTTCTTCTTTATGGAGAAATAAGGAAAGAACTTGCACACAAAATATTTATTAATAATTCATGAATACATAATTATAATTTATACATATAGATTTTTTGGTTTGTTAGCCGTATAAGGAGTCAATTCTTTGACTCCAAGAAATATAAAATTATAAAATATAAATAAATAATAATTTATTAAATAATTACACCATCCCGACTAGATGCATATTGCAAAAATAAGAAATTCAGATTAAATATTGTTTCTTGCAACCGCATTTGAAGTTAAAGTTTCAATTTTTTAATACAAAAGTTTCACACTAAATCTCAACTTCAAACCTTTCATTCCAGTCTGTAGCAACAAAAAATTTCGAATTTGGATACTGGTTCTTCGTGGTTGCAAGAAATTAGTATAATATGTTTCATTTGGATTGAAAAGTGCTTGTCATACAAAGTGTCACTTTCAATCCTGACGAAACGTTAAGAAAACCAGATACCATTAGTGTAAAATAATATGATAAATTCCTGACATGAAAGAAATGGTGGAATGAAATATCCCTTTCTCTTCTTCTTTTGATTATAGATATAAAAATGTTATCGCCCTGCATATTCTGTGAGTGTGACCTTTTTTCATGCAAGAATTTATTATTATTTATCGGCAAGCCTAATCGTACTTTCTTCAGTCTTATAATTTTGGTTTCAAAAATTACATTTTCTAATAGATAATTTTGTATATAACTTTATCACATTTTGTAAAAAATAGGACATATTCATAGTCCAAGTTTTTTAAAGGTACACGATATCCAATTATCCATTCAGTACCTACTTCCTTAGAAAAATACATTCTATATACAACCTTAACAGGTTGAATCTATCTACAGATGTAACCAATACGGAATTGAAATTTATACAAATCAAACTGTCAATTTTCAGTTAGATCTAATGCCAACGGAAATAATGAAGAATGTATTCCAGAATCAAATTGCTGGACGATGTTTTTGTTATGAAGTGGTGATTAAAATAAAAGTGGAAGATTCCATATATCAACTTGAAAAATTCCAATAAAACGGAAAAATAAGGAATTTGTGACTTGAGTACTGAATAAACACAATCTTGCAGTAGTGGCGCCTTATTGTATTTTATGGAACATATTCACTACCAAATTTCAAAGAAAACTGGCTCCAATGAAAAGATATTGTGATATTCTTTCGTTCTGAACCAACTATTTCGGTATTTTTGAATAGATCATCTCACTTCATTGAAGCCATTTTTCCAGTTAGTTGATGGAGTAGAAAGTTGAAGTATTTATATCTGTGTATCTCGGGAACTACAACAGATCCAGATTTGGTTGAATTGGAAAAAAAATGCGCGATCAAAGAAAGGGTAAATAAAATGACTTTCGAAAATCTTTGATGTGACTTTTCGCTTTTGAGTCATTTTCAAAAAACTTAATTTCCCAATTCTCAATTTCATTTTTTTCTTGCTCTGATAATAAAATTATGATTTAATTGAAAAATCATCACCTGGCAACTCTTGATGTTGATCAATTTGGCATTATCGATTTTCTGATTCATCGTTTCGTCTTTGAACAACCATCATCAACTTTATTTTTTCAAATTTGGCCCTGAAATCTTATTGATCTCAAATTCGAATCGCAATATTCATTTTGTTTGAGACAATATGACACATCATGCTTATTATGCGTTTCGAATTCATTTTCGCCATCATCTAGTAATATTTAGAATACGGATCTGGATGGCAATCTTTTTGAACATCTCCTATGAATTCATCAGATTCGTACCTATCGAATAGTATTGACGTTTAAAGTTTTTGATCCGTGAATCTATTTTTACTATTATATTTCGTAAAATCACTTGATAGCCTCAAAAAGCATCAAAATCACAAAGTCAAACATATAATGTCGAAGAAAAATTATTTGATGATGGTTGCTCAAAGACCAAACGTTATAGATCAGGAAATTGATAATGTCGAATTGAGTAACATCAAAAGTTGTCATGATGTTGTTTCTTCAGTCATTATCCCGAAATATGAAAATTGTAGGGTTTAATCTATACTATATTTTGGCACTTCATAAATAAACAAATGCGAATCGCAAAGTAGAAAACAAGAGCCCAGATCAGTTTATTCAAATGGAACACCCTGTATATTATCTGAATCTAGGGAAAGGAGTTTTTCTCCTGTTTACAAATTTATATAACTTGCTAATATGTTTTCTCAAGCCAATTTTCACTTATTTATTATAATCAAAGTTGCCAATAGCATTTATTATTGGCTGTGGACACAACAGAAATGCCATGGAGCAAAACAAGAAGATTTTGTCATCTCTGTCAATAAAAATTGGTTATCCCGCAGAGGAAAATACGATTAGTCGAAAACAGCTCAAGGGAACATTGGCAAACTACTCGGCAAACTATATATATATTTGTGACATGAGAAAGAGATCTTCCACAAAAGTTGAAGATAAACAGGATTTTCCTTTCAAACAAACTGATTTGGACTCTTTTCTATTTTCCGATTCGCATTTGTGTATTTAAGCAGTGCCAAAAGATAGTACAGTTGAAACCCTACAACTTTCATATCTGAAGTGTTTTCCACCTCGTATAGTTGGGGTAGGGATCAAAATAAAAGGAGACCTGTACCTTCAATCGCACAACTTTTCTCCTATTCAACCAAATATATATCTCTTGTAGTTTCCGATGTGCCGATACTGACCCTCACACAGTACAACATTAATTTAAGTACCTAAATTTTGATATCCCGATTGTTTTGTTTCAATCAAACTAGAAGTTTCGTTACTAGGACCCCACTAGGCCAGCTCAAAAAACCTTTTTTACAAATTTCTATTCTCTTTTCGGATTTCCTTCATTGAAGAAACCACCTCCTTCACTTCTGGCACCTCCTCTCCCCCTACTTTCTCCCACTCCCAGTCGCCATCTAGCGGCACTTCGTTCTCGAAGTCAAAGTTCCATTTCTCTCTCGCTCTCTGTCTTTCCTTTTGCGCTTCGTCGCACGGAAGGTCCAGACTAGCCGAGAGGTTATGTTCTGCTTCTTCTCTTTCTGCGTCTCGGCCGAAGTCTAAGCGCCTGCGCACGGTTGAAGTAGCGGTGTAGAGTGGAGGGGGGGTTGGCGGGGTTTGGGTGGGGGTTTTCTCGGTGGCCATCAAGGGGGTTGAATCTGTAAGAAAGTAAAGTATCAGAACAGAGTTATGCAGTCTTGAAGATATCACTTCATCACAATGATCAAGTATAATATCGATAATTCGCGATAGAAAATAAGCGTACGTCACTTATCAGTGTTCTCGAAAATTGTCAAAGCGGCCTGTTTACCCTGTTTTCATTGGTTCACATATGTTTTTTGTTTGTGCTTATTGGTGACATCATCAAAAGCAAACCGCTCTCAAGTGTTCTAGTTGTTGCCATCAGGTGGGGAACGTGTTATTTTCTAACGCGAATACCAATGATCTAATAGTATTATTTTTGACTTTCAGAAAATAAATTCAATGACCAGCAGTCACAAATGGCTGTATAAGCTACAGTGTGGTCATTTAAGTGTACAACATATGGAATCTTTTTAATGAATTGCACAATCAGAATACAGATAGTGCCAAAAGTTGGTGCATATTCGGTTATCATTTTAAGTGCACTTAGAATGGTTTCAAGTCAAACAGCATACAGGGTAGGTCAAAAAATATAAAAATTGGTCAAGAGTAAAGTACCCTTATTTCCGAAAATTCAGCAAAATTTTATCGAGAAAAGTTGTTTATAATTTAAAGTTATGCAAAAACTTCACAAACGATAAGTTATGCCTTGATACCAAAACATGACCTCCTTATACATTTTTTAGTTTTTCAATATTTTTTCAATTTTTTTCAATAATTTCCCAATTTGTATTTTTTTTTATATTCACCCTTAACATTTTCATGAGTTGAACATAACAAAATCAGTTGAGCATACCTTCGTTCAAATTCAAGAATACCTATTTGTGAAACTAACTTGGATTTTATTTTTTTCAGGGAATCAAAAACTTTATGTTTGTTGCAACGATATTCAGCTTAACTTCAAAATTTCGCAAACCATATTATTAGATGAGAAGTTAATGTCACCAGACTGTCTTAATGTTTACTGTCAACCCTCATTTGTTTTGTTCCTTGAGTATCCGTGATTATTTTAAAAGATATTATAGTTGTCGATCAATTTGTACAGCTTTTTCATAAACATTTCAAATACAAAATGTTGCAATATCGTTGCAATACACATAAAGTTTGTGATTCCCTGAAAAAATTAAAATTCAAGTTAATTGCACAAATATGCTTGAACTTGAACAAAGAAATGATCAACTGATCTTGTTATGATTAACTTATGGAAGTGTTTAGGGTGAATATAAAAAAATATAAAATTGGAAATTGGGAAATTATTTACAAAAAAAATTAAAAGCCTAAAAAATGTCTCAGGAGTCCATGTCTTGGTATTCATGCATAACTTTCAACCTGAAATGATCACTGAACATGCACCAACTTTCAGCACTATCTGTATTTTGGTTGTGCAATTCATTAAAAAGATTCCCATCTGTTGCACACTTGAATGACTACACTGTAAAACTGGCAACATTTCGTTGTTTATAAACAAAACGATGAAAATGCATGACCTACGTCTCAGTTTTCCCTCCTCTCTAGTGGCGGATCACCTCTTAGGGCTTGCAGCCCCCGAGAACAAGGGGGCCCGAAAAGGACATCAGTTCATTAAAGAACTGCAATGTGGTTGTACACAATAGTCGAATTTACGCCACATTCATATTTCAACAGGAGAAAAAAACTAACTCAAAGTCGATCGACCACAATATTTAATATAAAAATAATCAGCGTGTGACCATAGGTTCGGCTCTGAAAGAGAGGTAGTTTTCTACATAAAAGGTATGTATATTAAAATATTGTGGTCGACCGACTTTGAGTTAGCTTTTTTCCTCCTCTTGAAAAATACTGGACCACTTTGAGAAAGAATGGTTTCCATGACTTGTCATATCTATTTCATATTGATTATTCCGTGTATAAACAGTATTCGATGTAATCATTCTTTATTCAAAATCAGCGCAAATATATTTTTTCAATGATGAAATTTGGCATCTTCGAAAAACGCCAGCTTCGATGACGTCATGAACAATCGAAAGTCATCATTATCTGAATTCTGGCTTTCGCATACAAGAAAGGACCACTGCCAGATTTGTAGCTCATGAAATTCAATATGACCAATGACAATAGTATTCACATTCACAGAAGACAATAGTTCGACCTGGTCCCTAATAATCACTTATTGAATGCTTATATACTTGCAAGATGCATCAGTTCCAATAAAAATATCCTAGTATTCCTGATAATGTTCGAAATTTTATTTAAACTCGAATCATTTTGTGGCAGTGGCAACAGCGTAATGCCTGGAGTTCCCAAAAAAACAAGAAGAAAAGAAGCAGATGAACTACATTGTCAACCTAACTTCCTAACTTCATCTAGTCATGATGCGAATATTCAAAGGAAATCTTCATATTATCTGATTCTTCATTTGTGTGTTGGGTCTCTGTTATCTGCAGTAGAGTCTAGTGCGAGCATCTTTATGAGGAGGTGAACTTTTTCCTTATTATGTTCGAAATGACAATCAGAAATATTCTTGCACTTGTCTTACAGAAATAGAGAATAAATACAGATGCCGATTTTTTTCGGATGATTAGGTGACGCGTTTTCCCGCGTCATAATGCAACACAAATGTATGATGCAGCCATATATTGTTTTCCTGTTTTCTTTGATTCCTTTCGAAAATGATGATACTGTTTACTAAGGTCACTGGATGGTATTACTTAGATAAATAATTACATATATAATTCTACTGTTTACTTGATAACTAACTAAACTGATTCAATAGAATATCGCCAAACTCGTCCTTGACTTGTTTGTAAAACTAGAGAGAATATACCCACATACTTATTAATTGTTATATACAGTATATCGAAGACTGGAACCTTTGGCACGATAATACACTACACTGTTTTACCACTAACCAAACCGATTTTTTAACGCCTCGACACGTGTTTCGCTAACTATGTTAGCATCTTCAGGAGAAGATTAAAACAGTTTTAATCTTCTCCTGAAGATGCTAACATAGTTAGCGAAACACGTGTCGAGGCTTAAAAAAATCGGTTCGGTTAGTGGTAAAACAGTGTAGTGTGTTATATACAGTGTGTGCGATTTCAACCCGCAACACCCTCCTAATTTCGAACCCGTCGACCGATTTTCAAAAACAAAAATTCCATAACATAGTACTCAACGAGCTCTATTCGAGAATGTGAACAAATTTGAAATATTCAGATTCTCAAGGCCTACTTTTGTTTGTTGAAGGGATCAAAATTTCAAAAACGACTATCAGGCAATTTTTTGCCGAAACTGTGACTAGCCCATTCGATTCAGGCATAGCTCAAATACCCCCCTACGAAATTAGAACGCAAAATATCATATAGGGTGTCAGTTATTCGATGGCAAATTTTGATATTTTTGATTTTTCGATTCACCCCGTATCAAAATCTGAGAAATTGATATAACTGCTGAAGTAGTCATTCAATGCGGGAACACATCGAATACTTGAAGATGAAGTTTCATCGTTGTAACTTCTACAGGAAGATCTCTAAAAATCAATAAAAATAAAGTTTAGGTTCCCAATTTGGAAACTAAAGTAAATCTTTTTTCACACATTTCGTCACAGTCATCAAATAGTAAATTTGGAAATCGTCTCGATTGATAAAGAATTGGCGAATATAACACAAATAGAATGACAGACAAACACTCTCCTAAGACTGCAAGTAGATTTACTGATACTTAAAGTGATCATAATAATACACCGATTTTGGCGGAATGGAAGGAAAGTTTGAGATGACAATAGAAATTGTTATGTATAGAGAATATCTCCTCGAATAAGTTACCATTATTTATATTTCCAGGAAAAAAATTATTGGACAATAATGAATAATTTGTAAACTTCAATTTCATTGATTTTTGGTTGACCAAGAGAGATCTTCCTGTAGAAGTCACGATGATGAAACTTCGTATCTTAGTATCCGATGTGTTCCTCCATTGAATGACTACTTCACCGGTTATATCAACTCGTTTTACACAGGGTGAATCAAAAAATCAAAAATATCAAAATTTGCCACTGAGTAACTAACACCCGATATGAGATTTTGCGTTCAAATTTTGTATGGAGGAATTTTAGCTATACCTGAATCGAATAGGATAGTCACAGTTTCGACAAAAAATTGCCTGATAGTCGTTTTTGAAATTTTGATCCCTTCAACAAACAAAAGTAGGCCTTGAGAATCTGAATATTTCAAATTTGTTCACATTCTCGAACAGAGCTTGTCGCATACTATAATGGAATTTTTGTTTTTGTAAATCGGTCGACGGGTTCCAAATTAAAAGGGTGTTGCGGGTTGAAATCGCACACACTGTATAAGCATCAATATTATTCCTTGATAACTTATGAACAATTTTTCAAACTTACTGCACTTGAATCGACTTGAATTTCCAGTATTGCACAAATGCACAAACACTATATTCTGAAACTATCAGACGTATAACCAAAGTTTGTAGAACAACTTTTGACACAGGCGTCACTTCAGACACTCCCCAGTCGTTTGTCGTTTCAAACAAGTACCTACCTGCACTAATTACGGTACTCAATTTTAATTGATCATTACTGCTTGTCACTTGATAATGATAAGATTGATATCCTAAACAATTTGTAGAAAAAATGCATTCGTTTATCGATATATGTTATCTTATCTTAGATACAATTGAATGAATACTTCTATCTGAGGGTGTATATGGCAAAAATGAAAACTCTTGTTTGTTGGACCTTTTTTTTCCTTATTTTGGTATAGTAGAATAAGGAAGTTTCCGTTGAACGAATTATCATAGAATTATTATTCAACTACCTATCATCATTAGGTTTCTCATGTCTAAAATGGCTATTCAAATTATTCAAATCATTTTTATTTTCAAAATACAACAATTTATAATTATTAATGAAGGAGTCTATGAGAGGTAGTACCTAGATCTAGTGACATTTGTAGATATTTGTCTATGATGAGTTTCTCGACTTATTTCTTCCACGCCTATACGTACCCACCCCAAAAAT